CCCCCCCCCCCCGCCAAAAAAAGAAAAATAACAAATCTTACCAGATGTATTTATAAGTCTTCTATTAGAATGTCTTTTGTTGTTGTTGTTGCTCTGTCAAGGCATAAGAAAAAGCATGTTAGCCTGCTGCAAATGGCCCACCCTTGTAATCCCAAATACTCTGGAGGCTGAGATCTGTGAAATCATGGTTCGAAGTCAGTTCCATCAGAAAAGTCTTTGAAATTATGTCTTCAAAATAGCCAGTAAAAAGCCAGGCGGGAGGTATGGCTCAAGTGGTAGAGGATCAGCTAGGCAAGTGTGAAGTACTGACTTTACATCCTAGTACTGGCAAAGACAAACAAAACAAAAACTCTCAGGATTTAAATTATAATCTACTCTTTCATGAACTAATAGAACATATCAGTAACATTTATTTTGTGGATATAAATATTCATCTGTAAGATAATTTGAAGATGACATTATATGGTAATTACATTTTACTCAGTTGATCAATATTCATCTTTTACTTCCATATTTTGACATCTCCCATGCAAAGTGACATTTTCTTTATCATATCTAAGGAACCAGATGCAAAAGCACTGGGGTGGGAGCTAATGAGGCAGTTGAAGACATTACATAGTCCCTAGGTATGGAATTAGGGTTTTTTGTTGTTGTTGTTTCTGTTTTTGTTTTTTTTTGGTCGGTTGTGGGGCTTGAACTCTGACTCTGGGCCTGGGTGTTGTCCCTCAGCTCTTCAGCTCAAGGCTAGAACTCTATCACTTGAGCCACAGGGCCACTTCCAGTTTTCTAGTGGTTTATTGGAGATAAGAGTCTCATGGACTTTCCTGCCCGGACTGGCTTTGAACTTAGATCTTCACATCTCAGCCTTCTAAGTAGTTAGGATTACAGACATGAGCCACCGATACCCGGCTGAATTAGGGATTCTTGAAGGGTCTTGGGAGCAGAGAGCATCCCCAGACTCAGAAAAAGGCTGAGTTATGGACACATGAGCATGTAAAGGCCATACTAAAATAAGTGCTGAAATATTTCTAGAAGACATTTAATATAAATCCCACAAGCCCAAATATAGGGCTCAAGTTAGTTTTCTTCCAAAAGGAAGAAAGCCTGGGTTTAGGTAAGGAAGCCTTTGCTAAGAAATGACCCTGGGCCCCTCACTAGGCAGCATGCCATATCACCCAGCTACTCCCTAACGCAGTACTCTGGCCTTTTGCCGGTATGTGAAAGGACATATGAGCCTCTTGGAGGCTCTTATTTGAAGTCTTCTTCAGCTGACGTTTTTCTCTAAGGCATCTCAGCTCTATAGCTCATTTGTGAACAGAAGTTATACTGGCAAGTGCATGCTTACACATTCAGCAAATTCTTGTAAAGACATCCGTTGTAACCCCTGGATGAAAAGGCCACAGAAAGACTACAGTGCTGGGTGCTGGTGTCTGTTAACAGGCAGGTACTTAATGGGTGATGGTTGCCTCTGCTACAGAAATATAGAGAAACACAATTGTCTGCTGACTCAACTCATTTCCTCTAAGACATTTTGAACCATCTGTTCTAAAAGTTAGTGTGTGGGAAGATGAAAGTCTTTAAAAAAACATTAATGTGATAAAAAAAAATCCCCAATCAAAACTGAGGCAAATGTAGCATTGCTCTTCTATGCTTTAATTTTTCTGGAAAACAGCTTCAGGGAGTTTGGATGGTAGCAGGTTTCAGAGCCAAACAGATTTACAGAGGCCATTTTAGGGCAAGCTAGGGTGGGATTAGATGTTCCAGTCTGCACTGCTCTCCTAAGCCTGCCATGATCTGAAACTTAGGTCTTGGGTTTGGGCCAAACCCAGATTGACCTTCAAGAGAGAGCAAAGAAGGCAACCTCATCCAGGCAACAGTAGAGGCAAATTCTCCCGATCCTGCTTTTCTACTCCATTCTCCTCCTGTGCTGACCAAATGCCCAGTCTCCCTTCAGTGCCGACACAGCTCTTTTTTGCTGAAATCTTATACCACTGCAAGATGATGGGAATACATGCTAACATTCGTGTCTTTTGGTTTGAGTTGAGAGCAGAAACTTTCGAACACCTCTCATCGTACACATAACTTGATGCAACATTTTTTAGAGCTCAAGTTAGCCCCATAACCACATTAGAAGATTATATGTAAGGGAAAATGTATCTAATTAATTGATTAATTAATGTAAAGGCTAATTAACTTAATATGTTTAGAATGCCCCATGTTTCTTATATATAGATCTTTTGTAATCTCTTCTATTTTGTTACCATCTACAGTGTCTGTGAGCACTTACGATAATGAATGCATTTTGTTCTCACATGGCCCTTTGTGTTTCCATTCTGTAGTTCAGCACTTATGATTCAAGGTAAAAAGAACTTAAAAAACGAATCTTAATTACTATAATGAATATAAATTGATCACTTACTAGGCTTAATTTTTTTTCAAGTCTTATGTAGTTGTAGGGGGGGTGCTGTACGATGTTCTTTCTGAATTCACTTTTAGGACTAAGTTAAAAACAAATTTCCCTAATATAGCAAGAAAATATTAGAGATATCTAAGAAATACCTTTATAATGGCTCTAATCAAAAGGAGAAAAGGCCCATTTTAATTTAGTCTAAGTATGTCCAAATAGAGGAGAATCCACTATTTTTTCCCCCTAAATCTCATCTTCAACAATGTATTGGTATAACCTGATACTGAATTTTTGAGGTATAACTCAATAAATGTCATCTTATAATACTTGTTGCTTTGCTTATAACATATTTATCAAATGTACTGTTTATATCATTTTTCCTCACTTCCATATTAACATGTATTTCTAATTAAGGTGGATTTGTAATCGTAACAATGCCACAATGATTATATTGTTTTAAGGTGATCTTTTAAAGTACACTTGTTTAATATTTATTTGGTGCTATTGGGGTTTGAACCCAGTGCCTTGGGTCTCTCTGGCTAGGCAGGCAATCTACCACTTGAACTATGCTCCCAAGTCTACTCATTCCCCTCATCCTACCCTTAAATCAATCCTCCTGAGTAGTTAGGATAGAGGCCTGAGCCACCATGCTCAGCTATCATTTACTTCATGTTAAATACAGATACCAGATTTTATAGATCAAATTTATGGCAGGCTAAAATGCCTTCATCCCCCAGCATACTGTTGATTAAAATAAAACAATTAAGGATTATCCATAATATGGGAGAATGTAAGGAATGCAATTTAAAATGAATCTAACTCAAGTTAAAATAAGCTAAAATAAACTCTACCTTATGATATATTTATGTTTACACAACAGAAAAGCAAATGAAGGGCTATAGTTAAACTTTTTTCCCCCCTTTTTTGTCAGCCAGGGGGATTGAACTCTGGGCCTGGGCGCTGTCTTTGAGTTCTTCAGCTCAAGGAAAACGCTCTACCACTTAGCCACAGCACCATTTCTGGTGGTTTATTGGAGATAAGAGTCTCATAGACTTTCCTGCCCTGGCTGGCTTTGAGCCATGATCCTCAGATCTCAGTCTCCTGAGTAGCTAGGATTACAGGTGTGAGCCACCAGCACCCAGCTATACTTAAACTTTTGCCTCCAGTTTTAATTTTCCTGATCTATAAGGTTCTCCACAAGTAATAAGTATTTTCTTTTTATGTATTATTTTTACAGCTAGAAAGAGATAATTTTCAAGTTTCTTTCACAAGCCTAAAAATTGTAGCTAGAATTGCTTTTGGTTGTTTGAATTATATTACTTGTTAAAATACCAGACCTCCATTGATATTTTAGTAAAAGGATGTACTCCTTAAATTAGCTAAAATCTCTCTAAGGATTATTTTGGTAATGTTAGCTCTGTTTACAACTCAGAGATCACTACATTCTTCTATTGCATAGGAAATACTTTCAAAACTCTTTGGAAAGAAAACTTACATTAGTTAACAGAGTCTATCAAATTGAATACTCTTCTACTACCTGCAAGTTAACTTTTTACCATGAAAAATTGTCTTACTGATTTTAAAAAGTATTTGAACAGTGAAGTTGAAGTCAATTAATTACTTTTGATTAACTAATTAAAATTCTATTGACCTCAATCAACTCAGTAAGTTTTACAAGCATCTAATTTGCTCCTGGAAGTACTTTGGAGAGTAGCAGATTTTCCTAATTGGGACAGCAGCTGCCAGGCTCAGTCTAGTCAGGAGCGCTGAGGAACTTCTTCCTAGGAGTTTTATGTGTGCTTAAGCAGTGTTCTGAGTCTGAACCTGTGCATCTTCCCAATCCTGCCTTTTCTGTTTAAAATTAAAGACACTTTTAATCCATCCTTGTGCTGCCCTCATCTGTACTATAGGCTGTCTTTCTGGCAACTCATTTTTGATATATTGTCATGTCAGACATATTTTTCATTACGCTTTATAGAAGTTCCAAGACCTAACTCCTTTATTCTCTTCTGCACAGATTGTGTCCATTGGGTTCTCCAGGAAGCAGATGCTAAAATGGAATGAAGAGCGAACAATTGATTGGTGGTAACCTGTGGAAGACAAGAGGAGCTGAAACCAGGCCTGGAAAGGCTCAAATCACCATGATAAGGTCTCAGTCAATTCAGTGGAGGGTGGGAGCATTAGAAAGAATGGCCCTGCATCATTAACTGGGGACACCTGGGGATAACTGCAGTTGGTTGAGGCACATGGGGTGGGTAGGTTTACCTGGAGACTGTCAGCCAACCAACTCTCCCTACAGAGTGACATGAAGGGTTTCTGGGGGAGGGAAATCAGGGACATACTCCTTCATTGTTGACACAGATTAATTTTTTCCACTGCCCCACCTCTAAAATCTTCAACATCCTGCTTTCTCACCTTAAGGTCATATCTTTCCAACAGTCACTACCTTACATTTGTTCTTTGATTGTGAAACTTCCACGCCCTCATTTCCTTCACCTTCAACATTTCAGCCCTGTCTTGTTTTCCTTGCTTGAGCCATTTTGTTCCAACCTCTTTAAACAGACTGCCCCCTTTCCCTTCATGCCTCCATGGCAAAACCCTGTTATCTGCTGTATTTTCCCCCATTACTCCAGCTACTGGTTGCAACTAAAGAAAACCACTCGGCACTGTAGATTTAATGTCACAGTTTCCAATCTTGGCTGAATTCTATATACTACACAGAAATTCTATTAGCACTTGAGTACTTTCTTCTCCAATGAAATCTGAAGAAAAATCTTATAACTTTTATTTACAACATGTTGGAGAGCATGATGGGGGGCAAACAAGGTTTTAGAATCCTGGGAATCAGACTAAATTGTAGCTCTTTACTTCCTGTATGGTTGCCAAACTCCTCTGGATCTTTTCCCCAATGCTGAAGTGGAATTAATAGTTACTCTTCATGAGAAATGATTGTTTTGAAGATGACATAAAGATGTAAAGGTGGCTTACTGATAACTCTCAAATAATTGAAAATACATTAGTTGAAGTGTTTTCGCTTCAGTTACTACTACCAGTTATACAGAGAACCAATTTTTCTACAGAGAGTAACTCAATCTAATTGCATAATGTGTTAAATACTTTTAGTTATTAAGAATTCCCTTCTCCCCTAGAGCAAAGTTTAGAGAGGAGGATTATGTGCATGCCTGTGGGTCATGAAGAAATGATCTGCTTTCTGCTTTCTTCCATCCCTCCCACATACCCTTGAGGACCCAAGACAGGCAGGGAAGAATTTAATCTCCTTATGCAAGTGCTGTCAAGGATGCTCTCTCCTTTCACCGTAAATGATCTTGCTTCTTTTCATAAGCTCAGTACAAAACCAGCTAGTGACTGCAAGTTCTACCAACCAAGGTGTCAGTACAAGCAGTTCCAGTAAACATCAGTAGTCTCTGGGGATACTAGATGTCTTGGCTGGACTCCATTCTTCCCACTGCCACACCTTCTCCCAAGCCCTGCTTCAGTGTTCCAGATCTTACCTACTTTTGCACTGGGATTGCAAATCCAGCTCTAAAGCAAAGATACAGGTAGAAATTATTTTCTCTATCTTTTGGGAGTTAAACATGAGATGAACTGTCTGTGCTCTCGTGACCAGGCTGAACAAGCCAGATACCTCTCCTTTATTTTCCTTCCTTTATTTCCAAGGCACTGGCCAGGCCACCAAACCCAGTAGCTAAGCAGACAGTCACGTGGGAGTTATCAAGACATCGTAATTGAAGAATCAAGGAGTCTATTACCTTGGATTCAAAGAATTTAGTAAATATTTCTTAACACTGTAATATTTCACCATAATTCCTAGTATAATTAGTAACCTTAAAGGAAAGATCAGGAAAAGATAGCAAGCTATACTCTATTCTTAGACATGAATAAAAAACATATTATGCAACTGACCTAGACTATACCAATTAATTACATTTTTTTCTGGGTGAGATATAACGGTTTCAGTTCTAGATTGTATGCGTATATTACCAAACATTGTATACATGAGCAGTGTTCTAAGTATTTTACAGATATGAACACATTTAATTCCCATAACAACTCTATGAGGTATACACAGTCACAATCCTGATTATAGATGAGGGAACAGAGGCACAGACAGGTTAAACAAGCTAATTATCTTGTAGTCATGATGATGAAGCTGAATTTTACCTGCCAGGAATTCAAAATTTTCAAATCTGTCTTCAACAGAAAGTGTGTTCGGAGTTTATTTTTTCATTAGTATGATTAAATTTGGGATCATAACAACTCATAATAAATTGGGTAACTAGTTCTTGGAACACTCATGTTACACCAGAATTACAATGATGAATCCATACATTGGCAATCACTTAAAAATGATTTCAACATTCATTGGTTGTCTTAATTTTTCTAAATATTGTTTTGATATCTTGTCTTTTTATATATAAAACTTGCTTCAGGTTGTCCCAATGTATGAGATTTTCTTCTAGTTTAAAACTATTTATCTTCAGTTTTCTAGTTGTTCAGTCTGAAATTTTTTTTGTCAGAAATACATTTAAGAGAGTCCAACTTAATCAGTCCAGAGATCTATACCCAAATTCAGATTTATGAGTGCAACATTTATTTTCTTTTTAAGATGATGTCTATTTTGAACGCAACATTTTAAATGAAGAGTTTAGTATAGTTTGGAATTAAATTTTGTGGGTTTTTTCCCCAGTTTTTCAATATTTGAGGTCAGAGATTGTCTTGGAGCATTCTACCACTTGGATTATGTCTCTATCTTCTTCCTGCCTCCCTCTTACTCCTTTTAAACTGTAGTTTATTATTCAGACAGGTTCTCAAGATTATGCATAGGCTGGCCTTGGACACTATCCTCCTATCTTCACCTTGGAGTTGCTAGGATTACAGCTGTGTACCACCATACACAGGACAAATATTGTGGGTTTAGCATTCACTTCTTTTTTGATCTCATATATGTCCTTGAAATGTTCCCTCCCTTATCAAGTGGCAGAGTGCTCACATGGCAATGGAAAGGCCTTCAGTTCAAACACCAGTACTATTTTTAAATAATTCTGTCCCAAAACATTTTAAGTGCTTAAATTGTATTTTAGCAACTACAATTATATGTATTTAGGTATATATGTATATATACACACGTTATCATAAATAACCATACACCATTATTATTTTCATTACTATGTGTATTACTATAATTGAGGTAATACCTTCATAATCTTTTTTTTGGAGTGAAGGGAGTGGTACTGGGATGTGAACTTGGAGCCCCTTGCTTGCTAGTTTTGAGTTCTATAACCAAGCCACCCCTCTAGCAACAATAACAATCTTTGCTTATAAAATTCTTCTTGTATTAGCATAGTGTCAGAACAAAAGAAAAAAGTATTCGATTTCACAGTATCAGTCTTGGTTATGATCAGGTAGCATTTAGGTTATCTTGTGTGATAAATTTTAAAAAGGGTTCCAAGAACCATCTATCATCCCATGTATTATCAATATATCATAGATGCTAGAAACATGATCAGTTCCATATGCATTCAAAATTCACATGATTCAAACAGTTACAGTTTGCTTCATCTACAGCATACCCTCCTTTAGCATTTCATTATTTTAACTGCATTATGCTCTGTCTTTCCAAATTTAATTAGTATAAACTCAAGAATTTTATCGTTGGTGCCAACTGCCAATGGAGCCATGTTTTTACTATCTATCTGACTTTGTTGCAGGTATTGAAGTAGTTTACATAGCATCAGCTTCACTTTTTTTGTGTTTCTGTATAATGACTTTCAAAAAGATAAAATCATGTAGAAAATCTAAGTAAACAATTCTCTCTACTATATACAATTGAGTGGAAATAAGCAGTTTTGAAAATAAGTGTATTTAAAATTCACAGAACAAATCTGCACTAATTCATACATTTCTTACAACTATTGAAAAAGTCTGTTATTTACTAAACATATACAGTACGAGACTATGATAAGTATAAGTTGTGGAAAGATAGGACATTTCTCTTTCAGGAACTTTCTTTTGGGCTTAAAAAAAAACACCAAAAACCAAAGCTGTTTTATTAGAGTGTAACTTTAAGTGAGCCAGGACATACTTAAATGAGAAAGAGGAGCCAATTTCATTTAAAAAAATGTGTCTGCAACTTTTTATAATCAGAAGCAGATGACTTCCGGCCAACATTGCATGATTTGGAGAAATAACTAGTTTAGAGAATAAGTATGGTTGGGAGCTCAAGTGTACAACTGCAATCAGATAAACCACTACACAGATGTGGTGACGAATATATACCTTTAAGAGTTTCAAGCCATAGTTCCCAACCACAGTGCCTGTTAATAATAATAATAACAACAACAACAAGAACAATAATAGACCTCTATTACCCAGTTTCCAATATCAGAAAAAGCATCACCTGGCGCAGCAGTCTCTGGTTCACTTCTAATTAGTAGGCTTGACTCATGTGCTGGCCTCTGCATACAAGGCTTCACCCGATTTATTAAATCAACTTAATATTGGGTCATCATTTTGGCCACGAGGATTAACAGAGAGATGCTGCACCCCTCTGTCCTTCTTTAGGATGGATGTCCGCTCCAGCACTCTTGAGTTCAGGAGGAAGATGGCAAAGACTCTTTTCAGTATTCTGGAGCCCTGCCGACCCTTTTCTCGTTGCTTTTCGGAAACACAGGGCGATTGCATAACAATGAAGGCTCGGTGCAGAACTTCCTGGTCCCGATTGCCCTCCTCTCCATCTTCTCTGGGAATTTTGCATCCATCCCGCGTCGTGGATATTTTGATACCCGCCTGACACCTTCGTCCCCCATTGGATGGGGGAAGGAAAAGCACCCCGTTCCTGCCCTCCAGTGTGGTTTGTGCAGTGCGTGATCATTTTAATCCCAGCTTCCCGTCTCAGAGGGGAGCGCCTCCCCCCCGAGTCTATCCTGAGCAGCAGAGGTGTGCAGGGCAGATTCTCCCAGCCGGTAAGGGAGAAATTACCCTAGGCCGCGGAGCGGGGAAGTGCTGGGTGGGCGGGGCGGGGGTGTAATGTAAGATAGCGACCCTCCTTTCAACGTGCTTCGAGCTGTGGAAATAGGATGCGGCCGGGTTGGCACTGCCAGCGCCCAGAGCCCGAGCGACACCCGGAGCCCCCAGGCCCGCCCGCAGACCCCTCCCCGCGTCGCGCGAGCCTGGAGTGAGCGTCCGAGGCCCCGCCCCACCAGGCCCCGCCTCGTCGAAGCCCCGCCCTCCCCAGGCCCCGCCTCCCGCGGCAGGCCTTGCCTGACTCCAGCTCCGCGGGCGGAGGGGGAGGAGAGAAGCCGCAGCTGCAACTTAGCTTGGAACCCGGGAGCCCGGGCGCAGCCGGGATCGATCTGCCGTCACCGCGGACCCGCTAATTCCCCGGCCCGGGCCTCAGCCCAGGCTGCTAGAACCATGGCAGCTGCCGCCACTGCGGCCGACCCGGCTCCGGCGCTCCCCGCCCGTCGCTGAGCGGCCGTTAACCCGCCCGTGCTCCGCCAGCCGCTGCCGCCGCGG